TACAGTGATATAATATCATTGAATTCAAATTTAATTACATCCATTACAGTAACCCATCACTTGTAATCTACTGTACAGCTGAGCGGTATCCACTTCCCCACTTTTTTTAAAATTCAAATGTTATAATATTGTCATTTTATATTATTTTAAAAACATTTAATCATGGTTGGTATGTAATATGTTTTCTCTCTTTATTTAATTTACTATAGATAAAAATGTAATTAACCAACATTGTTTATATCTTATTTCTTATATTTAATTTATAACATTGTTATAGTTTGTTTTTTGGTTGATTATTATTTATCTCAACTCAATTATGTGTAACTTAAGTACTACTACTTCTAATTTATTGCTATATCGTGAACTCTCCCGCTTCCATGTAGCCAGTGGTTTGAATGTGACCAATCTCAGTTATTTTAGTTATACATAATCTATTGAAAAATTATTAGTTGAAAAATGAATAAATAAATATTATCATTAGTAATTAAAAATAAATGTTGGTTGTCTAACAATTGTGTTTTGTTTTAGTAGATAGGTAGGTACAAACAACACTTAAATATTAATAATATATAATATACGTAGCCATTTTTTAATAAAATATCCCATGTATATATAAAACCATAATTTCTACTTAACTATTTAAATATTTACTTGATGTGAACGACATTTCATGACGAGTAGAAGAGAAGAACGCAATCATATTATAGGGAACAAAGCGTTTGGTTAAGAACTATTTCGTTAGTTTAACCTCCCTTGGGACTTTGTATAGTGAACTTGACAATGTCACAATATAACGCACTCTACGGTAATCGAAAGGTCTTGACCAATAATTCAAATAATTGAATACCTACTAGAAGTGAGTTGAATAAAGGGTTAAATGTATTTTATAGTAACTTAGAGCGAAGCTGTAGGGCAAAAGGCAACTCTAGTGGTTTTAATACATTTAATATACACCTAACCTAACCTATTTTATAATTGTAAAATCGACTATAACCCAACAATATACGAAAATAAAATGCAAGTAAGTACTTATTGTTGTATGAGACTTTAGAACATAATTAATTAGCTATTTTATAACTGTGTTGTGTTTAAAATTTATTTAAGAATCTAATGTGCTTATATAAAAAAAATGTTTATTACATAAAACAGGTAATTATTATTAATCTTACTAATTTTATTATATTATTATAATTAAATTATTCAACTTATAATTCAAAAAATTTCAACACCAACGATTGATACTTACAGTGATTAGCTATCTATAAATATATGCATAATCAATAATATCAAATACTATATACAGGACACTCGGTATTAAAATAGTGTCGAACAAATTGTTACCATTGTCCCCTGAGATTGCTCTTAAATTACCTAATTTTACTCCTTAAAATGTGATGATAATTCCAACCATTTTCAAATATCATTATTCAATATAAATGCTATTTAAGTACATCACTGTACGTAATATATTCATATTTTTACAGTAGGTACTTATATTACTATATGACTACATTACAATATACCATCAACATTAAATATGTTTCGTATACTATAAATTTAGTTATTACTTGGTAACTTTATTTGTATGTTATAATTTTACATTTTAACTTGTGTTGTATAACCATTACAAAAATGTAAAATATATAAGGAATATTATGTTTTGAATTACAACTAATTATTACCTACTATACAACGTACATGTAATATTATATTATTTATCGTATTCGTCAAAATGATTAATGAACAAATAGAGATTTGAAATATGTGCAAATGTGCCAACTCTATAATATAATCTAAAATCTAAATAATTTAATATTTCTAATTAAAACTAGACAATACTATAGATCGGTGTTACAAATTAATTTGTTTTCAGAAACATTTCAAGGGCGTAAAATAGGCAACTACCTTAAGAATCTCGGGGGGCAATGACAAAACGTAGTAATTCGCCAGTTTGTGTATTCCAGTGTCCTGTATTATCGTATATAGTATTTTGATAATACCTAAATAATTTTATTCCAAAAAAAAAAAAAAAAAAAAAACAATAAAAATCCAGAATGAATAAAAAAAATATTTAAAAAATATTTAACAGTATAATTAATTTTAAATTAAAAAACGATTTGAAAATGTATATTTTATACACTATGTTAAGTAAAGATGGCTTTTTAGTTTTTACTTTTTAAAAATAAAACACACATAGATATAAAATATAATCGTTCGAAAATACCATCAAAACAACTTGTGCCTTAGGCCACAGACCCACAGTACATAAATATTCAAACACTTATATACCTACTCACACACTCACGCACACACATGCATACACATTTATGTGTGAACAGTGGCTATAATTGGAGATAATTGCAGTTGATTACAAGTAAAATGCTTATATTTGTCACTTAAATATCTTGTATTGCTCAATAGATACACGTATGATTAGTATCATGTATATTATGTAAGCATTGTAAGCAATAAAAAGTATTCTCATATATATATATATGTATTGATTATAAGACCTTAAAATATATGGCCATTAGCTGTTTGTAAGGATGAACAGTTGTTTTATAACATGTAATGTATGTGTAGCAAGGATTTGTTGCTAAAAACCAGGATGGTCACCCATCCGGGAGCTAGCAACACCAGCTGAGATGTTCACTCAAAGAGTACGTAGTTGAGCGTATGACCGCGCCCACCGCTMCACATTCTCACATATTATTTTATTAATCTCAATTCACGTTTATTTTTCACTTATTTAAGGCCACTATATTATATTATACATACTTTCATAAATGTTTAAACATTTTAGGTTATTTTAAATATTATGTATTCAAATGCGGCTTGCCTTACCTACATGATTGGGTAATGAATAAACGATTTTGGTGTTCTGTGAAGCCGATCGAATCTTTGACTGAAAAGTATATATTTGATTGGTATCTGAAATAATTAAACTAAATATTAATAAACACAATTTTAAATTTAATAGCTACAGCATATTATTATACAGGGTGTATCTTATGTCGTTGTACGGGGGTTTTTTTAACGATTACATGGAATTTAAAAAAAAAAAGAAAAAAGACGTATTTCTTTATTTTAAACGGCCAATGTTTTTATAACAGTTTAAAAATTTTTAAGCAAGCAGTTGTACCAACATTAAAATCAACATATTTTTTTCAAATGGTAACAAATATATTTTTTTATAGATTCTTATAGAGATTTTTTTTTTTTTTAATTGATGTTAAAATCATACATTTTGGTTCACTGGTTTATTTATTTCGGGCACTCTAAAATTTAATTAATTGATTTAAACGAATTGTATTTTTAGAGGTATAAATACATTTTTTTATTTTCTTTTAATGCAATATTCTACACTTGTTTATAAACTTAAGTCAAACATTTTATCATACACGCGCAAAAACAAAATAGAAATAGAAATATTTTTCTGGGATAATTGCCTACAAAACTGTTGAACATATTTTAATATACAATTATAAAATAAGTAAGTACATACGTGCTTACTATTATTGTATGATCCTCATAAATTGATTAATTTAAATTTTTTCTAAATAGTTATTTCGTTTATTTAAAATAGTATAAATTTAGATACTAAATTAGGCAGATAATGTATTATAATAGTATTCGATAATTATTATAATAACATTGGAAATCTTTAATTAACACATGATACAGATACCTATGATTGATAAATGAACTATTTATGTAAATAATTGCAAGTGGTTTATTTAAAATCATGATTATTTAAAGATTCTAGTTATCTAACTTTATTTTTATTATTTGAAAATGTACAAATATATTTATTACAAATCAGTATAAGTTATAACTAAATAAAGAAGTTTAGTTCAATAAACATTTTATTGTGCATTCGATTGAGGAGCGTGTGGAAATAATTTTTTTGTATGGTTCTACCAAATGTCTTACCGAAACTTCTAGATAAATTAATGTTTCAAATCCAGGTAAAAAAAATAGTTAGACTTATTTAATTATTTGAAATACGTAATTAATCCGTATACAAAAATGTATGTAATAGTAATAGTTTTAAAGAATGCCCAATATACGAGCCAACTCGCACACTCCTCAGCCTCCCACCCAACATCAAAGAAGCCCTCAACGTAGAATCTACTCCAAAAATCATCCAATTCATCACCAAAGACAACCTTATCAATAAAATATAGTTTAAGCTCATATTCAATTGTAAACTTACCTAAATAAYCTATMATTAATCAAATATTGTAATCTTTTTTTTTCCTATTTTTCTCAAAAAAAGCAGTTGAAGCCTGTAAAGCTTTAAATGAAAAAAAAAAAAGTAATAGTTTTTAAATTAATAAATTCATTTTTTTCAAATAGAAAATAATGTTCAAAAATCTTGTTGATAAGTTTTGAGAAACTGGAATTGTTAATGATAAAAAAAAAACCAAGACGGATCGCAGAAGTAGTTCAAAACAAAAATACGAAAATAACGGTTTTAGGTAAAACCATATCGGAAAATTTGGGAATTTTAAAGCAAAGTGTTTGGCGTATATTAAAAACCATATAAAATGAGTATTGTTCAGGAATTAGGAGAAGGTGACGAAGACAGACGCTTAGAATTTTGTGAAACTATTTTGGAAAAAATAAATGCTAATGCAGATTTAATAAGCACATCGTGTTTAGCGACGAATCGTCATTTTCCCTTTCTGGGGAAGTTAATACACAAAACTGCCGTTATTGGTCCAATAGTAATCCACATGTCTTGAGACATGGACATACAGAATGGCCCAAAAAAATAAATGTCTGGGCTGGTATTTTTGGTGACCATGTTATCGGGCCAATATTTTTTTAAGGTAATTTAACTGGGGAAATGTACCTATGCTTCAAAATGTCATTCAGCCATTAGTTGTTCGGGCAATAGAGGACAATGATAATCATACTGAGTTAGATGAAGAAAATGTATTTTTTCAGCAAGATGGTGCCCCAGCTCATTATACAATTCCGGTCAGAGAGTTCTTGGATCGCGAATATCCAGACAAGTGGATTGGACTTCGTGGACCTATTGAATGGCCCCCAAGATCACCAGATTTAATACCAGTTGATTTTTTTCTTTGGGGACATTTAAAAACAGTGGTCTATAAAACTCCGAACGACAGCATTGAAATGTTAAAAACAAGAATTTTTGATGAATGCCATAAATTAACAGCTGCCAATTTTCAAAATATTCGCTAGGAATTCCAAGACCGATTATACTACTGTCAAGAAGTAAATGGTATGCAATTCGAACATTTAATTTAAATTTTATAGTCATTTAAATTTTTTTGTTTTTAAATAAACCAAAAAAAATTTTTTATTTAGTTCATTCGAAAATATATTTCCCAAGTTTTTTGTGTCTGATAAGATTTTCGATTTAAGTTTATAAAAAGGTGTAGAATATTGCATTAAAAGAAAGTTAAAAAAAATGTATTTATATCTATAGAAATACAATTTATTTAAATCAATTTATTAAAGTTTAGGGTAATAGGGTGCCCATAGTAAATAAACCAGTGAACCAAAATGTATGATTTTAACATCAATTTAAAAAAAAAAATCTCTATAAGAATCTATAAAAAAATATATTTGTTACCATTTGAAAAAAAAAATGTTGATTTTGATGTTGGTACAACTGCTTGCTTAAAATTTTTAAAATTGTAAAAAGTTGGTGGTTCAAAAAACAAAAAAAAAAACAAAAACTAAAATAGGTCTATTGTTCTATTTTTCACAAATAATTGAAACATGTGTTGTGTATTTTATTTAATTGTTAATGTTTTACTTTTTTTAGCTTAATTATTTATAGGTCATTCACGGAAACCCACCAAGAAGGTTAAAGCGTAATTGGAACCGTGACCTTAAATAACTCTAATTCTAGACCAGTAAGTGTTACTGCTGGGTGATTACTTAATCATGTCAACCATGCCAATATGTTATATAAATCATCATACATGCTTATTGTAAAATGTATTTATAGATTGTATGTTTTAAAAAATAAAAGTTAAAATAAAAAAATTATTTATAGTTAAATTTTCAAAGTTTCAACAATTATCTAATATTATTGAAAAGTATTAGTTATATAGTCTAAGATAATGTATAATTTAAATTGATTAATATATAACTATACCTTGTTTTCGATGACGTTTAAAAAAATATGGCAATCGAATATATAGTCACCCTAATTAAACCAATATTAATTAAAAATTAACTTCACCAGAAATCAGATGATAAGAATTTTGGTAATTTTCCAGTAACCTATCAGCGCCGGTTTAAGGCGTTGATATTAAGTTATTGTAACAATCTTATTAAGACTATTCATCACGATCGAGAATTAATTATTTTGATCAAAACTTTTTTTAGATAATTTTTTAGAACTCTTAAAGATTTTAAAAGCTTATGCAAGTTAGGTATATGCATATAAATATTTAGATATATATTTAAATGCATTTTTATTAAGTAGATAAATGACAATACAAAATTTAATAACCAAGGCAGTATTTGTTTTAAATGAAATGAATTATTTTATAAATAAAAGCTTTTTTGTCTGAGAACAAAATGCCACGAATTTCAGTCATTGTAAATTCTTGAAACAAGATTTGGGTGTTTAAACTCCAGTACAATTCGTTTTTTATTTCTATTTTATTCCGCGACACTTTGTTATTAAAATATTGTACTCAACTTGCATTTCTGCATTACGTTTAATATTTATTTCATAAAAATATAAATGGAAAATTGGGAAATATAAAATCAGTAAAGTGCTTATATTATATGTAAAGCATTGTTAGACTTTTCTTTCATTTAAACTTTGTTAATAATGATTATAATTCAGAACGGCTTTGTATGAAAAGAAATATTACAATTATAATTATAGTGGCAGGTATCGTGGTATTATCAATATAATGTTAAATAGTTAAATTGACTCAATTGAAAAAACGAAATATAGATACATTACTGACCGTTAATAATTTAATAAACAATATTAATTATATAAAACTTATGTCAAAATCTATTTTAATTTTTCAACTTTGATGAAATTACCATAAATAATTATAAATAGTGTGTTAAAAAAAACTGTAATAAATTAATATAAAACTCAATAAGTAATTTAGTATATTAGATTATTAAATTACAAAGAAATCCCATGCATGATACTCGTCTCGTTTTAATCATTTCGACGAAGAGTGTTGGTATTGTATTAAAAGCAATCATAAATATTTGTATTCAAAAAATCGTTACTATATAGTTCTTGATGATATTATTTCCAAATTTCTCTACGGCTACCATTAGTTTGTTTTCTAATGCTTTCAGAAACTATTGAGAAAATTACCTTTTCATAGATTAAAATCAAATTCGGATTCCTATCTTTAAAAGTACTGAAACTTTAAAAGCTTTTTTAACCATTAAAGTGTTTAAAGAAAAAGTTGATACAAATAAAAACTATATTGTAAACATATTACTTTAATAAGTATTACTCAAAGATCGGATGTGGACAATAATTTTCTCAATATTCTTCTTAACGTAAAAGAGTGTTTTATTTTTATACTATAAACTTGAAAATATTATATGGCGAATCATATTATTGGCTTTGTAAAATGTTTCAAGGTGATAAGGTGACTTTATTCAATGGAAAATACACACTCAGACACTCTTTTGGAAATACATTTTAGTTTAGTCATATCGACATTAATTATTATAATATTGAATTTTAGGTACATAAAATACCTAAAACATTTTATCAAATGAATAACATTCAATTACAGTACAATTATTTTTCACCCATAATACATTAGATTTACATAATATTTATACATACAAAGTGATTCGTCTAACATTCTCATTCCCATTTTAGTATTTAATAATGGATTTACTCAAATTATGATTTTTTTTGTACCTACTACTATTAAAGAATGTCTTGTAGT